CGATTATAAATGTGGATCTTATTATTCCCGTTAAGTCCAATATTGTCGAGCAAACGTGCCGTCATGTTTCATATTCGAAACTATAATTTACATCGCTGCATGATCGAATACTGCTACAATGTTTACACCTTTAAACAAATGTGTTGCATCAACACGTTTGCTTGTTTAACTTGTGTTTGTGTAACGATGTAGGACTGGAATCAATGACGTTAAAACAATCGATAACAATGGGTGATTAACGCTAGGTGTCAAAAGGTTAATCATTCGTTATATATGTTACATGCATTTGAGGGAGCACGGATACCAAACATAAATTATTAATTTTCAGCATGAACGAAGAACAGGCGGTGGCATCGGTTACTCCACGTCTCTATATATGCTAGGCTCTAAGGTTCGCCCTCCCAGAAAAGCTAAGCACTACTTGAGTTTATGTTGTTGTGTTCGTGTTTTCTGTAAGAAGCAAAAACAAAACCCTTGATTCCATCAAGCGGCCTACACTTTGTTCAGTAAACAACCAAAATGTTTAGAGAAGAAGTTTTTTTTTCTTAGTTAAGGCTGCTTGATACTGAAGTCCTCGAAGAAAATGTACGGTGTTTGTAATAATCTAGCTGTGACCGTAACTGTACGAGTCTATAAATTAGCCCAGTAAACACTTTAGCCGTACACATATATATATATATACAGGGTGACTTCGAAGTTGAGTCATTTATTTTAACAGTGAGTAGATCTGATCAAAAGAAATGTTTTTTTCCTTTACCATTTTTCTGGTAAAATTAAAGTAACAAAGTTATAGCCCTTTGGAAGTTTGAGTACCGCCCTGTCTCAATAATAATATTATGTGCTCGTGTTTGGCAACAACGGATATAATTTCAACGATGTTTTTACTATTATTTTATTCAGTTGTATACGGTTAGTGTCAGTCGGTAACGCGTGAGTGAATAGTGGTGTCTGTTGCGTGGCTCAAACGAAATCAAAAATCGCACATGTTTACGAAAATGCTGAACTTGTGGACATCATTCTTATTTACGCGGCATCACGCATTTATGCGGATCGGTTTCCCAATCGAGTGCAGCCAACCCCTCGTGCCTTTGTTAATGTAGTACAAAGGGCTCGTGAATCAGGTGACCGCACGATCAAATACAGGTCCGCACTGAAATACTTGTCGGGAGGATACTTTATAAAACAAGGTAACATTTTTTTTTAATTTTTTTTTATTTTTACACACATATTTTGGTTTATCTTCCTTCTACAATCATCTGAAAATTAATGACTCAACTTCAAAGTCACCCTGTATATATATAGAGAGAGAGAGACAGAAAGAGAGAAAGTGATAATGCGGAGAAAGGTATATAACAAAAAGTAGGAAAATAATGGGCAAAATAGCAAAAAGGAGGAAAGTGAAATCCACTTTCCTCCTTTTTGCCGTTTTTGCCCATTATTTTCCTACTTTTGTTATTTATATATACATATATATATATATATATATATATATTGTAGCCAGAGCCAGAGTCACGTTTACTGTATAGGTCCAAAAGCTTATAATGATGTGCCAAATAGTATTAAGAGATTGAGATATTCTAGTGTTAAAAAGGAATTAACAAGATGGATTATTGATAGTCAATACGCCATTAATTATGTAATATAAAAACCTGTAGCATTAAAGGTATTAAGTTCCTAAAATTTAAGATAAAACATAATAGCTTTGAATTTGTTTGATCTATTTTTATATTTCTTTTTCTCTTTGTAAACTAGAATTAAGAACCTCAATGAAAAAGTTACACTTAACAATGTGAATGGGGTGCACACACAGTATTTTGAATACAATTGTGCATCTAAAACTATTAGCAATAGTGGGTAATTTTAAGAATAGATAGCTGGATTTAAATATTATACAATAATTGTAAAGTCTATATATTTAATATGATGTAAAAAACTGTATACATGTTGAATCTGCTGCTAATAAATAAATAAAATATATATATATATATATATATTTATTTACTAATGATTGAAACAGTATTATTTTTCAGGAGACAAAGAAAACGCAAACACAGATCTTGAAACGATGACTTCGGATTGCATGGAGAACATCGCGGATCGTCCCATAATTTTCTGAGAATGTCTTCTTCGGAATTTGAAGATCTAATAACATCATGTGGCAAAAAAGTTGCGAAGCTAAATGGAGACTTTGGAGATTCAATTTCTGATAAAGATCGTGTAACATTGAGGTTCCCTGCTATTGGGGACAGTTATTTAAGCTTAATGTACTTATAAATGTATCCAGCGTCTCAAAACAAATTCATTATCTATAAAATTTGGTTCAAAATTCGTATCCGGACTAGTATTGCGAACATCGAAAACATAACACGATCGCTTCCACTAAAGAGACCCGAGTTACATAACAGATCCTTTTGATGTGACCGCTACCGAAACGGACGCGAAAAAAAAACTCCAATTGTCGCAAAACACGAAAGTCTTTAAGAACTTTGCGAAAAGTTTTGTTTTATTCGAAATGAGTTCGTGTTTTGGTTTTGTTTTGTCCGTTCAGTGGAAAACCGCCATAACAAGCCGATCCCCGCTGATGAGATGGAGAGAACGAGACTTGCAGCGACTTCCACTCTGAAGAGAGTTTAATGCTTCCAAAGCACAGTACTGTATCTTGACTAACATGCAGCGCCATACCAGTTGCCATACAGTTGCAGAGACTTCTTCCCGAAATTAAAAATTCTAACACTGCCCTCGTTGTTTCTTTATGAAATGGCAATATATATGTATATTAACAGAGATTATTTCACCTTGAATAGTAATATACATACATTCAATACTCGTAGGCAGCACGACATTCATCTACCCTTTGCTCGATGTAAGCTGGATAGTAGATCTCCCTCTATTTTTCGACCAAATATATTCAATAAGCTGCCTGAGTATATTAAGAAAATTAACACCTTAAATAATTTTAAAGCTGAGTTAAGAACATATTTTATTAATAAGACTTGTTACACCATCAGTGACTTTGTGGAAGTTTAGATGTTCTTTTTTTGTATTGTTTGTTATCCACTTATTGTTTGTCCTTTTATATATTTTTATATTGTATTTCTGTTGATTTATTAATTTTAACTGATGGAAAGCTAATCTATTTTATCTGCTGTTGTTAGCCTATGGTGTCCATTTTAAAATATTTAATTTAAGCCATTGTTTGTTGTTGCTTGTCATTTTACTGTTTGCCTTTTTTACGTATATACTTTTAAATTGTTTGTTGACGAAGCCTATACATGTTTCATACATGTCTAATGGGTAATAAATATTATTATTATTATTACCCTTGTAGCAAGGAACGGGTTTATTAGGTACTTTAGGAATGCGTTAAGACTCTGAAATAAAACTGTAAAGAAAAGCAAGTTTTTTTTTTATATCGAAACAGCCGCGCAGGCAGAAGCCTAAATGCCGGAACACCGCGGCTGCTATGATGATCCCAAAGAAATTTTGTTAATACGATTTTTGAACTGCCTAAGGTTAGTAGAACCGGGAAAAGCTTCCTCCCGTAGATTGTTCCACAATCTAGACACCCTCGGGACAAAGGAGCGGTCGTATCGGCCAGTTCTGGATGTACGAAGTTTGACACGGTTAGGATGGGACGCCGAAGTCAGGCGGGTCTGTCTGGCAGGCACATCGCGCGGCGGCATCATGGAAGAGAGCTCTGAGGAGCAAAGTCCGTTGGCGTAGCGATAGAAAAGAGCCAGATCGCCGACGGCCCGCCGGTGCGAAAGAGTCCCGAGACTGTCTGTTAGAGAAGAGTCATCGATCAGTCGGACCGCCCTCCTCTGGACAGCATCGAGCATGGACAATGTAGTCTGGGCGGCAGCACCCCAAATGTGTGAGCAATACTCGAGGCTAGGCCTTATCTGAGCCTTGTATAGAGTGAGAAGGTCATGCGGAGAAAAGTACTTCTTAGCCCTAAACAAATAGCCTAGCTTTTTCCCAGCAGCTGCAGCTATTGAGGAGATGTGTTCGTGCCAGATCAGGTCCTCGGTGATCTGGACTCCGACCAGCCGAAATGAATGGCTCTTTGGTAGAACTCGACCGTCCGTCAAAACTGTATGAACGCTAGGACGATTTTTGTTCGTCAAAGTACAGTACTGTGTTTTGGAAGCATTGAACTGTACAAGATTGTTGCGTCCCCAAGCAGTGATAGCCTCCAGGTCTCTTGTCAGAGAAGAAGTCGTCGCTAGTCTTCTTTTTTCCAGCTCAGCGGCAGATATCGGCTTGTCACTCTGAATTCCTGCATGTAGAGTGCTGTCATCGGCGAAGCTGTGGATTGAGTTGATCGTGCAGGAAAGGAGGTCGTTGATATGTAAGAGAAACAGTGTTGGAGCCAAGACCGATCCCTGGGGAAGTGGTTTTTAAATGAACCTTAAGATTGTATAGTAAACTCGCATTCGGCATTAAACAACAAACGCTGAAAGCGGTTAATAAAACCAAAGGTTTAAAAGTGCTCTGGGGGTACTTCTAAGTCCAGTTTAAATATATTCTAAATATATTCAGCTTTAAAGTAAATCTAAAACAGTTTATTAGTTCAAGGTTAAAATACTTTATCGTTAACATAAACAGTTTATTAAAATGGTGCTCCAAAACTATATAGTCATTTTTTATCGGGTAAAATCAGTTTATACATCATAGTCATATATAGGTTCGTAACTATAAAATAATAGGTTGTGATTTTGGACTATCAAGACAGAAAGCTACTTTTAGCTAGTTTTACAATTCAAAAAAATACAACAAACAAATTTTTTTAAGCGGGAAAATTATTAATTTTTTAAGGAAAAACAGTTTTATCTGTAATTTTAAATTTTTTAACGTCAAAATGAATCGGAATTACGCTTTTAAATCATTCATCATTCTTGTGTACGCCTTAATATTCTTCCAGCGCCTTGAAAAAGCAAAATTGCCGAAAATTAATTAAAAACGTCCATTCTTATCGGATACATTTGTCACCAACTTACCCTAAGAACTTGTTTCTTGCGATGCGAGGCATACAACAGCCAGAGTAGATACATGGACATTATAAGGGCAGCTCCTAGAAGAGCTGATAACCTCGTAGAACCAAATCGTACTGCATGGTACAACCCTAAGATTACTAGAAATATCACCAAGCCTGCTGCCAAGTACCTTCCCGTTCTTCGACGTTCTTCCTAGAACAATAGATCACAATGATCAAATCACATAAAATAAGTGGAAGATCATAAACCTTAACTATGTACTTGCGGAATTAAAAGTGTGTCTAGTTTGCATAATATATGTTTTGTCAGTCGTACTAAAAAATCCAAAGACCCTAGACCAACTTAATATCTATAACAGATCTAAAAAAAATATAGAAATTCCTAACCATCTTAAAAACCCAAATTTAATTAAGCAATATTTTATCGACTTGGTGCGACAAATACCTAGCACTGTCGATACGAATACTATTTCTAAATATCTTAATTCCAAATGTACAACCGCAGAATTTGAATTGAAACTCGTTAGTGAAGATGACGTTTTCTGGGCAATATCGGAGATTGGGTCAAACGCCTCTGGTGCAGACAGAATTAGCCTTGACATGGTGAGGTTGTGTTGTCCAACGATCTTACCGGTGCGTGTTAACCTATTGAATTCCTGCATACAAAAGGGCATTTTTCCTGCGCAATAGAGAACGGCTGTGGTCTTGCCGCTGCCTAGAAGTAGCAGCCCTAAGGATTTCTTTGATTTGCGACCAATTAGTATACTACCAGTGCTGTCTAAAGTATTTGAAAAGCTTATTTATAGGCAAATTATTACTTATTTCACTGATAATAATTTATTACCCAAGTTGCAGTCTGGATTCCGTAAAGGGTTTGGTACTACCACGGCACTGTTGAAGGTTCTAGATGACATTCTTCTGGCTGCGGACAGGGGTGAGACTTCGGCATTGGTGTTGTTGGACTTTAGCAAGGCCTTCGATACCCTGAACCATGCATTGCTGTGTGCAAAACTTTTCTACTATGGATTTAAACTTAAGACTATTCAACTTATTCGTAGTTATTTGGACGATAGATCGCAGTCGGTCTCAATTGATGGGCTTAAATCAAAACCCTTGAACGTGGATAGAGGAGTTCCTCAGGGATCACTTTTGGGTCCTTTATTTTTTATCATTTTTACTGCTGATATGTCGGAGTGCTTTGGTGATATAAACAATCATAGATACGCTGACGATACACAGATCCAGCGTTCTTTTGCTAAGTCGGACGCAATTGAAGCGGCTAGGAGGCTAAAGGAGTGTTTGGATTCAGTTTTTAAATACTCTTTTAATCATGGCTTAAAATTAAATCCTAATAAATCAGCCATAATCTACTTTGGACCAGCTAAAGATTGGGCGTCTGTAAACTTGGTGATAGCAATGGATGCTGTGGCAATACCGGTGGTTGAGGAATATACAAATTTTGGCGTTATCTTTGATAACAAGTCTATTTAAATCTTCGCAATATTTACAAAAGTAAAGGTATTCTTAGTTTTAAGTTAAAAAAGGTTCTCTGCGAAGCACTGGTCTTGTGTCACCTTAACTATTGCAACTTTGTGTATGGTCCTTGCTTAGATGTATTTACTAAGAATAAACTCCAAAAAGTGCAGAATTCTTACATACGACTTATTTACCAGCTTAGGCGTCACGATCATGTCAGTCATAAACTTTCCGAACTGAAATGGTTGAATGTTTCCAATCGAGAAAAGCTGCATTTTGCTTGCTTTCTTCATAAATTGATTAAACTAAAAGCCCTCCATATCTGATTGAAAAATTAACTCTTAGAAATCTGGTTCACTCTCGTGCAACACGCTTTAATGTACTTTATGAAATACCTAAAATACCTAAAACCATGACTCAAAGCTCATTTTCCTATACAACAGTCAAACTTCTAAACCAATACAATATAGGTCAATTTGAAGACATGTCTCCTAATATGTTCAAACGAAAACTGAAACAACTGCTTCTGTGAAGTATAAGTTGTTTATTATTGCTTATTTTCTTTGTGTACGTACATCTCCATTGTTGTTATGTAATATTCTAAAATTGATGTAATGTCAAACTTGTTTCTTGTCATATTACTTTTCTTTTTGGCTTGTTGTTACTTTTGACATGCTCGGTTAAGTTAACAGCATAGCTGGCCTTCGTCGAGTTTAAAAGAAAGGCGTTTTTATTTATTTATTTATGTGGGAAGGCACGACGTTCGTTAGTACTCAACCCAGGTGCCGGCAGCATAGCTAAACAAACCATTCTATATACCAATCGGTTGAAAAAAGCGAAATTGCACACTCGTACAGCAATATCAAACTTGTCGACATCGTTTTAATTTACAGTGAGCGTCTTCAAAATGTTACCGAGGCTTCACGAGTGTATGCAGATCGCTTTCCCAAGCTTAGTTCATTAAGGGGTTCTTTTTACCCTGTTTGAAGGGCTAGAGAAATAGGTCGTTTTGCAGGCATGTCGAGGTGTGGGGCGAGAATTTTCTTGCAAGAGTGCGTTTTTGTGAGTGGTTGTTGCGGTCCATATTGGTCACGAACGAATCAACCTCTACGTGCAACGGGGTGAATAAGTTCCGAAATGCTCATGTGTGGTCATTGGTGGTATCGTAGTCCGTCGGTTACGTTTTCAACAAACATTTTATTTAAATATTTGAGCTGGCATGGTAAATGGTATGTTCATTGGACCTTTTTTTTCCAGTTTATAATACGTAGACTTTCTACAAAACATTTTGCCAACGGTGACAACTTCTAACAGTTTTATTAGTCACAAAGATGTCCTTGATTTTCATGTGTACGTTTTCATTTATTTTTTTTTACCTTTTTGCTACCGAGGCCAACTCTCATCAGCTCTGCTATTTCAAGCGTACTTGGTTCAAAGGAAGGTCTCAACTTTCAGACACCCAAAACATTCAAAATAAGTCATATTTTGTGTCTCGTTCATTTCATTTTAATAAATCGATGAAAGCATAGTTGCATAGTTTTGTCCGAGCTAAAAGCTTGTCAGAAATTCATATCCTATTTCGAATCCACACCATGTTAACAGAAGGTTTATCAGCGGTCTTCGAAAAGCATGTTGTGAAAGTACAAAAACAGCTTATATCCAAATATGTAGTCTTACAGAAGTTCTTGTTTGCTTTAAAAAACCATAAATGGAGATATTTTAATTAAAATCATCCTAACAACTTCAAACAGGGGGGTCCTTTACTGAAGCGTACCAAAAGTCAAGTACACCACTTGTTGAAATTTGTTCTGAGTAAGTTGCGGAGAAGTACTAATATCCTTGCACTGGAAATATCTGGTTGAAAAATGATACTCACTACTTAAGTTTTACTAACATACCATATAGTAACAGCACTAGGAGTATACGTTTATTTCCCCCAAAATACAACGTGTTAATAAATACAAATGCTAACTTCAGTACAATAATAAACGTAAAATAAAACATAATACTTGACTTACACAAAATAATCTTACGTTAACATGTTTTATAAGTCACAGAAAAAGCCCATTGGAACCAAAATAGTTGGTTGTGCACGGGCATATGACAGTATCGTGTTTCTTATACTTTTAAACTGTCACTCGTCTCGTTATCAATGAAGTGTCTATTATGGTGGAGTACACATGTAAGTGATATCAGTATTTATTCACATTTTGATTCAAATATGTATGACTTCATGTTGTCATATTGATTGTCTTCCTGGTTTGGTATCTACTGCATTCACAAATACATCATTAATTTGGTCTTTTCTGATATGTGCAAAGATTTCTTTTTAGGCTTCTGTACTCATTGCTCAATGTTTGTTGAATTTATATCTATTACGAAAAAATTCTCCTACTCTTCTTGTATACACTTCAATGATGAACACATTCAGATTATTGTGCTTTACCTACCTATATGTGATTTAACTTGTTTAAGTGTTATATACTTTTCTGTAATTGCTAATCTAACTATCTTACCGACATTTTGAGTAATGATTATAGCCATTTCAAATGAATCTGTTTGAATATAGTCGAATGCGTACAAGTTAGGTTTTATTGACATGATACCTAGTTTTAATTGAATACTTTTTAATCTGCTTTCATTTTTCTGTCTGTTTTATTTTATATTTTAGCAATTTCTTAGTGTTTATACTAATGTGATTCATTTGCGCTATAGGTCTTCTACTAACTTCTAGCTTTCACTACGTTATGTGTCTGTTTCATTTTTTTGTGTTGATCAGTTTTTTTTGTCTTTTAAAATATTTGAATTTTTCAAAAGTTATGCTGTCGCTAACTATTGATTAATGCCATGCACAAGTATATTTGTTGGGTTTTCCGTGTGTTATTAGAGTGTACAACTTGTAATTGCTTCTTTTCCTAAAATAAACTATTATAACTACGACTAATTCTCGTTGAGAGAAAAACATGGACGCAGGATTCCTTACCGTTTCAAAAAATATCGTATGTTCAAGATTTGTAAAACGAGACTGACCTTTTTTGTTTGTATCTTAAACTTATGTACATCGGACTCATCATATGTCCACCCCTTCTGAAAACAACTAACAAGTTCAAAGCGAGGTTATGTCGCGTATAAATTCGTTATTAAAAAAATACCACTACCATAGCATCGTGTGCTGTAAAAAACAGGAAATTCCAAAAAATTGACGAACGTTATTTTTTCATTTAAGTGATGAATTGCGCGTTCTTTTCAAAGCCCCTAATCATTTTTACTATCATTGACTTCAACAGTAGAAGAAATTATAGCTAGGGCAAGTCAATCTACTTGACGCCTCGAGCTTTCAGAAAAATGATGTTTTGATACGCTTCTGCATCTATCCGAATGATTATTTTTGTCTGAATCGCCGACTTCAGGCCATCAAAACATCTGCAAGATGTGTATAAACAACCCAAATAGTCTGTACTTGACTCACATTCACGAAATGATAAACATTGAGTTGCCATCTGACGAAATTGAAAAACGAGTATAGCCCAAGAGAAACTATGTGGCCGAATTGACAGAGCAAGGTCAGGTAGGACAGAAGTGATGGCATGGTCTACTAATTTTTCAGTACTTCTACTAAATGTCGATTTTCTTCTCAAATTCTTAAATATACTAAGTGACATATAAATCCGAACACGCAGTTTAAATGGTTTTATTTTAATAAAATTTTGTATAATATAAAGCATAATAAGTAAATGATAAAAA